TTTCTTTTGCATGGAACTCCCAAAGTTGACCGGCAAAAGCACCAATCGACCCCTGGAACTATTTTGGGCACAGGACCATAAGTGCGGTGTGTCAGAACTTTACCCCAGTGGCGTTTCAGCTGTGTTCGTGGGATCTGAGCGCTTTTTGGATATGTTGGGCGCTCAGATCCAGGCTTTCTGGGGATATATAGACTGTGGGGGTTCCTATGTGGGAAATATGTATTTTGATGCGTTTTTCATAGTTTATGTTTTATCGCTGAGTCATGGTGACACTGCACTTTGGGGACATTTTGTAGGTGTGTATGTGGGAGTGTCATGGGCGGGTTTGCTGTGACTCTGAAATGTATAAAAGCAGGCCATCTGGCCAGATTCAAGCATTTCAGTTTGTACTCCCAGAACTATGTGTCGTCTAGTTACCGGGAAGGGAGAGAGCTAATCACTGTTCCAGCTTGTTCCAACGTGGAGGATTCAGCGGGGAAAGTCCTTGTAAGGACTAGAGCTCCAAGGACTGTGTGCCATCCAGTCCCTGAGAGTAGATAGAGCTAGTTCCCTATTTCGCTCCAGGACCCCAGTCAAGCCACGGCGACTGGGGGCAGAAGCGCTGAGGTTTTCCCCTTGTTCCAGCTAGGAAGCAGTCCTTGGCGGATGTACCCAGCCGGGGTACAGGGAGCTCCGTTACAGTCATTGTTTGGTTAAAGAACGTTTTACTTTTGTACTCAACCAGTAATAATTGATGCCAACAGGCAAAAGCGCTAAACTATAGCAAATGACTCTAATGCATATGCTACTAACAAAGACCTTGATTTAATATTTTTGGATGAGCTTCTCAAATTATTAATATTTTTGGGTAAACGTTTTAAATGCTTTTTGTAGGATATTAAAATTTCAAAATATATCATAAATGAAAATATATATTAATATTTTGAAAAAAATATATGTTTTTAAATATTTAATAGTTTAAAAATTTTAACAAACAAAATTAAATCATTTGAAAAGCTTATTAAAAAAATGTTAAATCGATCTGCGTAGGCCACAAAAGTGTCATCCATTCAATTTTTAGTGTTTCTCTCTGACAAGTGAAATTAACTCTTGAGAGAGCCATTCTACCTTTTAATGTTAAGACTCTTCATGGCTAGCAAAATGAATACAGCTGCTTTAAAGGGCAATTGGCACTCTAAAAATTCATAAAAACTGCACAAATTGACACATTAACAAAGTTGATTATAACACTGCAACAGGCAGATGAAGTGGAACTTTTAGCTATAATTGGATTTCCAGATCACAGTACTGAAATCTTTACAATTATACTTAAAACAGTGAATATGCGTGTCACTTACTTTTCTCTATCATATTCTCTCCCAAACAAGATGTTTTCTCGCAGCGAAGCATTGAAAATCCATGCCTGCTGAGCTGCATAGGCAATGTTGCCTGCCACTGACATTATACCTTTTACCAAGGTCACCTAGATAAAGAACAAACACACGTTTAGCACTGATTTAGCAACATGGTAGTTCAGTATCTGGAAATAAAATTATGAACAATTCAATCCATTGATTTTGTAATTACTTTTTGTAAGGTAATTACAATGTATAGGTTAATTTCCAAAACACTAATACAAACATACATTAAGGCGATTCTTCTAAAGGTGTGCTATTCTGCCATTAGATTATTGAAGGTAACTGGTTCAGTCACTGCTCAACCACTCGAGCATGCACAGCCTTTTACACTGCTGCAGAATATGTGACACTTCATCTATACTGCCTCCCTTGGTAAACTCATTAGCTCCTTTGGCTTCCAATATAATTTCTATGCAGATGACACGCAAATCTACCTGTCCTCTCCTGATCTCTCCCCGTCCCTCTTGACTAGTGTCTCTGACTGCCTCTCTGCTATTTCTAACTGGATGGCTGCCCACTTCCTTAAACTAAACCAAAACTGAAATTCTGGTCTTTCCTCCCTCAAGTGTTGTTACTCCTGTGTCTGTCTCCCTCCAAGTCAATGATGCTACCATCAGCTCCACCACGCAGGCTCGCTGCCTAGGTGTTCTCTTTGACTCCGACTTCTTCTTCAAGCCTCATGTTCAGTCTATCGTCAAATCCTGTCATTTCCATCTCAAAAACATTGCACGCATCCGCCCCTACTTAACGCCAGATGCGACTAAGGTGTTGGTCCATTCCATTGTCCTTTCTCGCCTTGCCTACTGCAATCCGCTTCTCAGTGGTCTTACGTGCTCCCAACTTGCGCCGTTACAGTCCATAATGAATGCGGGGGCGAGGCTTATCTTTCTGTATGCCCGCACCGCCCACGCCTCACCCTTCTGTCCCCTGAATTGGTTTTCTATAAAATATAGAGCTCAATTTAAAATTCTGGTTCTTGCTTTCAAATCTCTACATAATGCTGCTCCCACCTCTCTATCAACCCTTATAGACAAGTATGTCCCATCTAGGCCCTTACGATCTGCTGAAAACTTAAGTCTATCTTCTGTCCCACCTCTGATGCTCGCCTTCAAGATTTCTCGAGGGCTGCACCGTTCCTGTGGAACTCGCTTCCCTCCTCCGTTAGATGCTCACCCAGTCTCCACTCCTTCAAAAAAATAGTTAAAAACGCACTTCTTCATAAAAGCGTATGAATTAAACTGTTAATAGCTCCTGACTGATTCCTCTTCTGCAACTGTCACTAGTCTAATACTATCCTTACCTTTTGTGTCATTTTACCCCACTTCCTCTAGCATGTAAGCTCATTGAGCAGGGCCCTCGACCCCTCTGTTCCTGTGTGTCCAACTTGTCTGATTACAACTACGTTTGTTCGTCCACCCATTGTAAAGCACTGTGGAATTTGATGGCGCTATATAAATATCATAATAATAATAATAATACATAAATCGTACAAGTCAACAGAAAATTAGTATCTCAGATTTGTACAATGCCTACTCTGAGTATGTAATAGCACATCCTCGAGATTGGGTTCTTAGGTGATTATGAGTTATTTTGTATTTTTTGTTTGTTTGATTTGAGTTTTACACTACCATACCTTAAATAATTAATTTAAGGCCACCTGTCATGATATTTTCCATTTTGCAGAAATTAATTCCTCTACAGAATTCATCTATACATTGTGCTAGCCAAATATCTAGCAAATGTATACATTTCTTTATAAAACACCACTTAAATCTCACTCCCCATAGACTCTAAGTCTGTCTGCATCAGAACACACCTATGGGCTGCTCTCTGAGTCAGCTTCAATGTGTTTCAGTGCGTGTACGTTCCGCGCACGTCATCTGTGTAATTGCCATGTTGGATGAAGACCTTGCAAATATTTTCTTTCCTTCATTCGACATTTTATATTCAGCAGGTCCAGCAATGCGAGCATGTACTCAGAATCAACAAAGAAGTCAACCGATTATTATCCTCTTAAGGATGGAGTCAATAGTACAAAACGTAAACAAAACCTTAAAATTTGCACTACATGTCTGTTCAACCATGAATTACCTCTTTCATATTAAGTGCACCCACACCTATTATATATAATTTTGTTCAGGAGAAAAATGGCTTTCATTTCACATCAACTATTCATATATATGACAATTTATTATGAAACAAAGCTAAAAAAGTGTGAGAAATTAAGATTTTTTTTCTTCTTTTTTTAGTTTTGCGTGGCATTTTAACTGTGAATGTTATAATGCTTTTAGCTTTTAGTACAATAAAATACACGTTTGTATAACGGCACCCCGGCATAAAAAGGGTTAAAAGCCGTTTAGGAGATATTCCCTTCCAGATATACAGGCAGTTACTGTAGACACCAATCCACCGAACCGGAGAAGCACGTGAATGCCGTAAACAGCTGAACCGGAACCATACGAATGCTGTAAACAGCCAAATAGGAAAAACCATATGAATAGGTTTACACTCCTAGCAGTCAAACTGGAACAGCATACAATAAATCCCCCCAAGAACGAGACAAGGCTTCGTTTTGACGGTCAAGCAGGAACAGACAGAGCTGTGGGTTTATTGTTCTTATATACACATTAGTACCACCAACAGGGTTTTGGAAAACAACCAATAAACACGTACAATACACTCAGACACTCCCACACAAAATCCTCCCCTCTGCCTGTGCTACAATTACCTTACACAATGGGTAATGTAATTATCACAGGCAGAGAAATACAGTTTTTCCACATTATTCATAACTTTAAAAGTATGCATCACATTCACATAAATCACTTACATTTTCAGAATCAGCATACTCCAAATACAAACATACGTCAAAATCATACAAATTGGTCCAGTGGTTCAAAAGATAGATTGTAGTCCTTTGTGACCAAATGAAGCATGGCTTTTCTGCCCAAAACCAGTTCCACAGAGTCTTCTATCCTGGAGATAATTGGGAAGTAATCCAATTATATCCAAGGACAGAGACAAAACTCCATTGAACAAATGGCAGCAAAAGACAATAAAATACATAAAAATATATAACTGTGCAGCCATTGCATAAAACAGGTACAGTCAACATATCCCCAGATAGCTCAGATCTGAGTGCACATTATTACTGAATGGCGCCAAGATCACACACATACAGTTCAATTGCCATGGAGTCAAAGTCTTTCCCATAGTCTTTCATTATACAAATGGGCTCCATGGCACAGCTATCTGGGGTATCACCGCTCAAACAGGACAAGCACCGAGTGGCCTGGCTTTTGTATCTTTGCAGGGGAAAATCAAGCGTTTCAACATGGGGCCATGGTCTAAGGGCAACAGGCGAGCAACCAGGCTTCTCCAATGCTTCGTGGCGAGGTTGGTTTCGCCACAGTTTGTATTAAGCAATGTCTCACAAGTATAACAGTACCTCCCATGAACAGGTTTTATGGTGTTTTGGGAAGTTAAAGGGTCAAATATAGCACATTCCATTTTACAGTTTGTACACATTGAAATTTGCCAGATTAGTAATGTTGCCTTTGAAATCATATCGTAGCCCAGGAATGAGAATTACCCCCATGATGGCATACCATTTGCAAAAGCAGAGAACCAAGGGTATTCAACTTGGGGTATGTCCAGTCTGTTTTAGTAGAAACTTATTCACAAACACTGGTCAAAATTAGCGTTCATATTTCTTTTTGTGTGAAAAAAGCAAAAACAAATATGAACGCTAACTTTGGCCAGTGTTTGTGACTAAGTGGCTACTAAAAAAGACTGGACATATCCCACTTGCAATGCATTGGGTTGTCTACTTTTGCAAATGGTATGCCACCATTGGGGTTATTTTTCCTTCCTGGGCTACCATCTCAAAGGCAACATTATCAATCTGGCAAATTTGTATGTGAAAAAAACTGAAATGCAAGCCTTATATTTGACTCTCTAACATTCCAAAACTCAATAAAACTTGTACATGGGGGGTACTGTTATACTCGGGAGATTTCACTGAACACAAATATTAGTGTTTCAAAACAGTAAAATGTATTACAACAATATCATCAGTGAAAGTGCCGTTTGTGTGTGAAAAATGCAAAAACTTCACTTTCACTGACAACATCATCTTTGCAATACAATTTACTGTTTTGAAATACTAATATTTGTGTTCAGCAAAGTCTCACGAGTAAAAGAATACCCCCCCATGTACAGGTTTTATGGTGTCATAAGTTATATGGTTAAATATAGTGCTAGCAAATTAAATTCCCTGTACTTTCTGCCTGGGTTGTCAGGCACGTCCCTCAAATTTTAATTAATAAAATCACATAATAATGTTTAAAGATTACATAAATATACATGTAAAATTTTACAAATTCTACATGTAAATTTATGTAATAATTTATGTAATTATATATTAATTAAAAGATTGGCAAAAGCATTTGACTCTCTATTTAATAGGCTGATGTTCTGGCAATGAAGGAAGCACATCAGCATCATCATGGGAGCTGTGCCAGGTATAGGGAAGCCAGGGCAAGCTTCCCAAAAGGAGGCAATGCAAAGCGTATCAATTAAACTGTTAATAGCTTCCAACTGATTCCTCTCTTGCAACTGTTATTACTTCTCTAATACTACACTTTGTGTCACTTTACCCCACTCCCTCTAGCATGTAAGCTCATTGAGTGGGGCCCTCAACCCCTCTGTTCCTGTGCATCCAACTTGTCTGGTTACAACTACATGTCGGTTCGTCCACCCACTGTAAAGCGCTGCAGAAATTGTTGGCGCTATATAAATAATATTAATAACAATAATAAAAGGATCATGCCCACGAGGGGAAGTGAAAAAAGGCAATTTTTTTGAAATTGTACAGCAAAAGGAACAGGTTTATAGAAAGCTTACATTTCAACAACAGGTTGACTTTAAATAACAAAACAAGCAGATGTATAGAGTTTTAGAAAACATAAAATAATAATTATAACAGTGGCAAATGTATTATTTTTTTTTAATTGGTTGGGGACTAAATATCCCATAAAGATCAGGCTCCAGACAGCTGCTTGTACATCATGGAAACGTAGTCTACAACAGCTGCACCAAAGGCAGGCCACGACTGTTCTGTAGCAAGACCCATGTGCCATCTGATCTGTTGTTTCAGATGTTTGTGACTGTTAACATGAGCTTGGCTAAGCTGGATGACTTTGCACAAAAAACTGTGTCTTTACATTTAACTTCTTACCAATCTTTTGCTCACAGATAAGATGACAGTTCCGTATTCCAGTTTACATACATGTGAAAGTGCTCAGGTTATAAATTAAAATGATAACTTTAAAGGGGAACTGTCAATAGACTCTATGGACATTGTATCACTGGATAAAATGCTGAAAAGCTCCTATAACTTTTTTTTTTTTTTTTTAGCTTTTTTGCATGTGATCCTCTGTTTTCTTTAAAAGATTTTTGCAAATGCCTTTACAATCCAGTTCATTCCAGACAAAACCAGGCTAACATTGCAAGTGAGCAGGAGGTGAAATATTATTTTAGACACCGCTTACAAAATTGCAGGGGTTGTGTTCAAAGTATAACTTTATTACGGTATATGCAACTGTTTGTCTTTGCTTTAACACACAGATCACACTTCATCACACAACAATTCTGTTCATATAAGCATGACTGCATACAGCACAAACCATTTATGCCACTATTTTAGGAAAATAAGCACATTTCCAAAAGGAACCTATGAAATGGGATAACTAAAATAGTTTCTAAATAAGAAGTTAATCAATGTGCGATCACATTCACACTCAAGCTGCACATAAAAATCAAAGAGGATGAATGAAAAAGATAATGTATTAATCAAAATTGTAGACATACAAAAACAATATTTTGGTTTTGTTTTGCCATATACTTTGGTTTCATTTTCTTGAATTGCTAATCAATTAAATTATTATTATTTTCATTGGTATTTATATAGTGCCAATAAATGAGACAATTGCACAGTGAGACAGGAACAATAGGTATATGAGAGGTAGATAGGTAGACCTAATGTCCCTGTGTCACTGGGTAATTGCCTAATTTAGTGTAAATTTCTCCCCCTTTCATAATATTGAGTAAATGATTGTGAGAATTTAGTTTCCTTTCCTGCCAAGCTCATGCCAGTATTTTACCCTTTCTAAATTTCATAAAATTGTATTCCTGATATGACAATAGTTCTTGATAAAGCACATTTATTACCTTTGTTTATAAGAAAAGCTTTTATAAATATTACTGTAGAGAATGACATGGTAAATGTTAGAAAGCATAATGTAACAGGATATAAGATGAAGTGAAATTAAAGCACAACCCCCAACCCCCCCACCACCACTTTCTTAGGTAAAATTCTAAATTCAACTTGAAAAGGAATGTTACTTTACCTGACCAAGTATAGATAATATGAAAGAACTTTTGCCACTCCCAACACTTCCACATATTCCAATAAGTTTGCCCTATAAAAGCAGAAACATGTTGTTATCTGACAGCATTTTCGATCAATCTTAATTTTATTAGCAATGCAAGCATTCAATGAAACACATCTGCATAGAGATGGCCTGACCCAGCACCAAGCACCGGACATCGGTGTTGGATTCGGGTAAGTGGCTGAAGGAGTTGTAACCAGTTCAGTGCCGTGGGAGGGGGGGTTGCGAGGGAATGGCTTTGTTTTCCTGGCACTATAGAATCCCTTCAAATAAATGATCAACACAACACATTGCAAGCAATTGTTAAATACATAAATTGTCTAGATCACGTAAAACAAGTCGCAAAAACTACTTATGGGTAGGATAGAAGACAATGACTAGCAGTGGAAAACCCACGGTGGATAAAATAGATGATTTTTAAAATGTGTTTGTTTTTTAACTTACAACAATTTTTTTTTGTTTTAATTAAACATCACTTACTTTAATAACATTCTTTTAAAATAAAAAACAATATCTATACATTATTTAAGATACATTATAGTCTAAAGGTTATTGAGTATATAATTGTTATTTAGCATAAAGCTGTATATTCATGCCACATTTGCATTTTTGGTAAATTAATTCTATTAATCCAAGTTAATTTGTCTGCAAAGATAACATGCACTTTTTCACAACAAATATAGTTAGATAGGAAAAGAGACTTATGCCCATCAAGTTCAGCTTTCCTCACATTTTTTTTTATTGCTGTTGATCCAAAAGAAGGCAAAAAACTCCACCATGAAGCACTTCCAATTTTGCAACAAACTAGGAAAAATATTCCTTCTTGACCGCAGAATGGCAGTCAGATTTATCCTTGGATCAAGAATATATTACCCTTCAGTTTAAAAATTATATCATTAAATATTATGTTTTTGCAAGTATGCATCTAGTTGCTGTTTAAACAACTGCACAGACTCTGATAAAACCACTCCTTCAAGCAGAGAATTCCACATCCACATTATTGTTCTTACGGTAAAAAAACCCTTTCTTTACTTAATCTTCTTTCTTCTAGTCTAAACGCATGACATTGTGTCCCATGTATAGTCCTGTTTGTGAATAGATTTCCAGACACTGGTTTGTATTGGCCCCGGATATATTTGTGTAATGTTATCATCCCCTCTGAGGCAAAGTTTTTCTTCTGAGGTTTAAATTTGTTAACCTTTCTTCATATCTAAAATATTCCATTCCATGTGACTTGTGACTTACACAGCCTTCCTAAATACTTCCTGTAGAAAGCCATTTAATGTTTACACTTCCTTTACTGCAAATTCTGTTTAATTTAGAATTTCTTATCCCCTGCTCTGTTAATAGTCTCAAAGACCATGCTGGTGACGCCAGTTTGTAATTAAAGTTCAATTTACAGAGCAGGAGATAAAAACATTTAAAGTTAGTTAACATATGATTGGAAATTAAACCATTGCTTTCATGCAGGCTGTGTGAGTCACAGCCAGGGGAGGTGTAGGTAGGGCTGCATAAACAGAAACAAAAGTGATTTATCTCCTAAATTGCAGAGCATTGAAAAATGAAACTGCATGGGCATGATCTATACAATAACACTACTTCATTAAGCTAAAGTTTTTTGGTTTTTTGGTGACTATAGTGTCCCTGTTCCTTTAGGAACACTCCAGACACAAAAAAGCAAGCTGAAGTGCTTAAAGGACCACTATAGTGCCAGGAAAACATACTTGTTTTCCTGGCACTATAGTGCCCTGAGGGTGCCCCCACCCTCAGGGTCCCCCTCCCGCCCGGCTCTGGGGAGAGGAACGGGTTAAACACTTAACTTTCTTCAGCGCCGGGCGGGGAGCTGTACTCCTCCTCTCCTCCTTGCTCGCGACGTCATCGGCTGAATGCGCATGCGCGGCAGGAGCCGCGCGCGCATTCAGCCGGTCGCATAGGAAAGCATTTACAATGCTTTCCTACGGACGCTTGCGTGCTCTCACTGTGATTTTCACAGTGAGAAGCACGCAAGCGCCTCTAGCGGCTGTTAATGAGACAGCCACTAGAGGCTCTGGAGGCTGGATTAACCCTCAGTATAAACATAGCAGTTTCTCTGAAACTGCTATGTTTATAAAAAAAAGGGTTAATCCTAGAGGTACCTGGCACCCAGACCACTTCATAAAGCTGAAGTGGTCTGGGTGCCTAGAGTGGTCCTTTAATGTGTTTGGTTTCTATCACCTCCAAGGCAATTTATAAAATGGGAAGCCTTGGTTCCAAAAGCAAGGTAGATTCAAACCCCGCTAGCATAATTTAACACAATATCAACGTTTAGCATAATATCTATGCAATTTTAAAGTACTATTAAAGCGGTAATTTTACGTAGTATGATTCTTTACCAAACAAAGGCAGAATGGAAAG